ATATTTCAGAATAAGATTTAATTTCCTGAAATTATGCCTATCCTATCTCTAATTCCTGCATACTGAATTAAACATAAACCTAATAGCATTTTGCTTTCCGTGTGCAGACTCGATTCTTATCATTTATGGGTATTTATGTCTTCACCAGGGTTAAGGGCTCAACCACTTCCCACATGTCGCCCGCCGCCCTGATGAAATTTAACAAGTCATTAAGGACAGAAGTCAACCCATTTCTATCGTGCAAGTATCTTCTGGATTAGAAAGCCAAACACAATCTCACACAATTTAAAATAAAGCTTCAATATAATAAAAAAACAGCTTTGTGCCTCTCTCTGCAAGCAAATGTACAAAAAAAGGCTTTTCCCCAGCAATCTCACCCCAGAAGCCATCTCATGAACCCTCCTCGTTCCACACTCCGCTCTTTGCTACAGAAACCACATCTGCAGCCAGCTCTCTGGCGTTCCCAAACCCTGAGCACCAGTGTCCTTTCTGATCGCCAAGCACAGGGAACAATCATAATTCTAAAATGTTTTACTAAGATGTCAACTACATAATAAACTTCTCTGAATGGGAACATCACTTGAAAACAAAACATTTCATGGAGAAATAATTCTGTAGGCGATCACTATGGGCAAACTGGACTGACTCTGTCCACTGATACGGAGACAGAATGATGAGGGGCCCACAAGGAGACTGAAGGAATTTTTTTGAGGAATTTCTCTTGAGAAGATGTTAGTTCACACGCAGCAAAAGTCCTTTGGGGGAAAGAGGCTGCCTCCATGGTAACCCAGGTCCATCAGAGACAGGCTGCAGAGGTGGCCAAGTGATCACTCCCCCGGTGACGGAAGAGCACCCTGGGGGCGGAGGCACCCTTTACCTCTGTGCTCACAGCCAAGCTAATCCTCGGGCTGGTGACCAAGGGAGGGGACGGGGCAGGGAGCACTGCCCCCACATCTGCGCAGCTCAACCTGCTGCCGAGGCTCGGAGCCAACCCGGCCTCCCCCTGCCCCAAGCTCCCAGGAGGTCTGTGCGGTTTCTCTTCAAGGCTGGTCTACTTACCATGCCGGCTTTTGCTTCATTCAGCTTCACGTTTTCCTGGGGGCTACCCTGCATCCACCAGATGGCCTACAAACCCGACTACCTGAGTGCCATGCCTGAGCCCCATGCATCTGATTACACGGGAGCCCGGGGCTGGGCTGGAGGGCGGGAGACAGGCAATACCCGGCCAGGCCCAGGGCTATGGGAGCAGGATTGGGGAGTTTGCACTGCGAGGCCCAGCAAGGAGAGAAACTTCCCTCCCACAGTGGCCAAGGAAGTGGGCTGATGAAAAGCCGCCACCACACTTCCGGAAGGGAGCCTGAAGTCTGGAGGGCTGCAAAATGATCTGGGAAAGAAGGCGATCCAAGAACTCACCCTTACAGGAGCAGTCAGCCTCAACCTCTGCCCTTCCCGCCATGACACAGGAAGCACACTCTCATCCCTGGACCCCCACAGGTCCTCCGAGAACATCAAGCCCACTGATAAATTACAGTCTCAGCAAGCCACAGACGAAGGTGTTTCTGAAAAGCTCCATTCTGGGCACTCAGAAAAATATAGTCAACTGAATGTTGCTCAGGGAACAGACTCTAAAGTGATCAAGAAGGAAGATGACTTGCTCCTCTGAAATGATTAAACACATTGAACACAGCTTGCTTTAACAATATCTATGGGGGTGCTACTGTGATCAAGGGTGCCCACTGCCCTCGGGGCAGAAGGCGGAGGATCAGGTGTCCCAGCTGGGGTGGGGGTGCTACCCCGCAGACGAGGCAGCCCAGGTCCGAGGAGCTGTGCTTTTGATACCATATTCTGATGTTTTCTATCTCAGCAGAACAATGTGCTGCCAGAGTTTTGCACCTTTGTTTTTCAAAATCCTCCAGCAGAAATAAAAACTACAGATGAATGAAGACTGCTTCAGCAGTGTTTTAAATGTAATGTTAGCACGCATGAAAAAGGCATATTTTTTAACACAAACCTTAATAATTCTTCCTGTGGGTTTTTCAAGAATTTATGCCTAGATGAAATAATGTTTTTATAGTCATAATTTTATCTCCAGAAGACTTGCTGATTTAAAACTACATCTCATATTAAAAAAAGAACTATCTGGGTCAGAAAATAACCACCAGATAACCAGAAAGAGTAATTTTTAAATATAAACACAATTTCTGAACATCAACTCAACCAGTATTAGTCACCCAACAGAGGGTGAGTACATTACACAGAACAGCAAGTCAGAGCTCCTTCCCAGGCAAGAATAAATTTTATTTGAACACAATTAGCCACATTCTACCCACTTAATTTTTCTCTCCTTGCCCTCAGATTTACAGAGAATATAGCAAAAGATGAATGGTTTTCTGGGTCATGGAGTATCCAAAATCTACATAGCCAGACAGACTCCCAATAACCAGAGTCACTGTTCCTTAGGTAAGAAACCTTAAAAACCTAATTCACGATTGTCTAATAATGATCACTCTCCCTTTCAACAAATATTTATTAAGTATCGAACATGAACCGACAATGTGCTGAGCTCTGGGGATGTAAGGGTGGATAAGACAAGGAGCTCATGTTCTCCACAGACACACATCAGGCTCTGCAGAAAAATAAAGCAGTCACGGGAGGGGGTGACCAGGTGTGGGGGCTCAGGAACAGCTTTTTTAAGAAAGTGTGTAGACAGCGGGAAAGGTCATGTGAAATTCTAGAAATAGCTAAACACTACATGGTTCAAGAATCCAGTTAAACGCTTTTACAAGGATTTTTGCTCCTCACATGCACCTCGTGAGATAAGAATCACTATTGTTCTCACTGCCTAAGCCTCCCTAAGCTCCCCTAAGGTCACACTGCCAGTGAGGGGGGCAGAGGGGAGCTTGAGCCATGGGCCCCTATTCTCCTCTTCCGTGAGCTCAGTGGAAGCAACGTCTCTAGAAGCGAACCCACCCAGTGGAGTGGTACGAGCAGGTACATTTCCTACAGGCTGCAGATCGGTTAAGGCCCCTGAGCTGAACTCCGTTTGCAGATTGACACTGTTCAGACCTGGTCTGGATCCCAGCCATTGGCAGGGGCAGAAACATGAATCTGGCCACTTACCAAGGCAGGTGGCTTCTCCTTAAGGTAATGAAATGGTGAAGTCCACAGACCGTTTTGTTCCTGACAGTGAAATAAGAAGTAGGAGGAAGGGAAATCATGTGAGCAAAGAAGGCGGTCAGTAGGGACTTCAGGACAAGTTTGGAAAAGGAAATGGGTGTTTAAGAACTAGACAGACCCTCTGCTTAAGAAAACCCAGAGCAAAGGTCCTCAAACAGCAAATTCCTAAACAAGACCCATGGCTCGCTCAGGGGAGCCATCGGGCCCGTGGGGGTCGGGGTAGGGGGGGCATGAGGCGCAGACATCGGCCTCTCATGGCTGACCTGCAGGCGTGCCACCTGTTAGGACACGTGCGGGACAGGGTGGAGACCCGCCCTGCAGGCAGTGCGACAGTGATGACAGTGTCGGAGACGACTTCAGACCTGCCTAGAGACTATGAAGGCGGGGGCAGGACGTGAAAGCTCTTGGGGTAAGGGGGGTACCAGTCAGTTTCTTCTTTCTCTGATGTGATAGTTTGAACAGTTGAATCAATCAAACCATTAGAGGCCATCAGACTGAGCGGGTCTAACCTCATCAGCCTATGTCAGCAAACCAAATCGGAAGCCTGTAAAGGCCCCAAGGTCAAAATATTAAATGCAAGGACAGCCGATCACAACCAGCCAATCAGGTGACTGCCATCTCTGACACCTTCTCCATGAGTTCTGCCCCGGCTCCCAGGTACGGTGTTCCTACACACTTCTGGCTGGGTGCTATCTCATCTGAACATTATTTGCTTAAATAAACTCTTAAAATTCCTAATATGCCTCAATTTATCTTTTAAAAGAACTCAGCGAATATAAGAATAATTACATAATTCATGCTGAAGACAAAGATTTCATTTTCTCAATGAAAGCTTAATATATCAAAATAATATTACATTTTGATATATAAGGAAAAATATATGTATACCCTAGTATTAGTGACTTTCTTTGAAACCCATTTTCTGTTTGGATGTTTGGATTTTCTCTAACATCTAAATAAGTATTTCTAATAAACTTTTTATAGTAAGAAAACACAGTAAACAATATACATAGAGAGTATCTCACAAGGATGGGGAGGCACATATGCCTGGAAACTAGCTAATCAAATAATGATGTCTTTAGGCTGAATGTGAAGTTAGAAAAATGTCCAGATAAAGCTGCTAAACTGGTAACTGTAGAAGACATCAGGGATCTTACGGAAAGAATGACAATGGCAGAAAGGTCCAGAATGTCGAGCAATCACTGAGACGGTGTTTGGAGATATAGGACGGTTTCAGATGCTTATTTACCGAACCAAGGAATGCAGTTACCAGACACAATTAGCTGGAGATTTTCAGTCAGGGACAAAGAAAAGGTTCCTGAGGCTGAGACAGGACTTTCAAATACTGTTCACAAGGAACAGCCCAGTTAGTGAGGAGGTGCACGGCCCCGTGGGCACACGGAGAAGTTGTGTGCCCCCATGGGCACCAGTGGCAGCCCACGGCACAGTTGCTGTACAGAGACGAGAGGGCCGCGTCCTGCCTGGAGCGTGTGAGTGACCGGACGATGCTGATCCCAAAGCGGCCGAGAGAAGAGGGAGGGACATGGGAATGTCCGGCTTACTGGAAGTCTCGACTAAAACTAGAATGTCTGAGACTCTTTTTCCTTGAGTTGCTGAAAATTCAATCTAACTGTGGATGTAAATCTGATCAACTAGGCGAAAGGCAGTGGCCAGGTAATGGGCAAAGAGATTTGGTGCGTGAAGCAGAAACACTGCAAACTTAGAAGCAGGCACCGAGGGAGGGCAAGTGGCCATCGGATTTGAGCTCTGAAGTCTGGAAGCACAGACGGCAAAGGATCAGAGAAAATACATGCAGGGCCTGCGACTCAAAAGGGAAGAAGTTCCAGGGGAATGGGGGGGCTCCCCAATAACTGCAGATGGGGGTGCAGAGCTACCGATGGGACCCTCCAGGGAGCGGCCTGACGGGCTCACATATGTTAAGGGTCTTTCACAAAACGACCACGAGAAGAGCCCGTAAGAAGCGCGGACGCTGGCCCGCAGGAGGGCTGTGGACGGAAGTAAAACAGGACGGGGGCTGCTTTAGAGCTGAAACAAGCAGCAAGGAGGACAGACTGCCGCTCGGGACGGACGGCGGCTCGTGGGTGGCGGGAAGACAGGGAAGGACCATGTCCAGCCTGGGAAGGAGGAGCCAACCTCGAGGAGGAGGCTGGGACTGAGAGAGGAACGCCTACGAGGCAGAAAAATAATAGTGGGAAATAGCCCGACAGCCTGTGACAGGTCCTGGGGAGCCTGGGGCCAGGTCCACACAACGGCCCAGAGGGCACGTGCAGGCCTGGTTTTCAAAGACGGCAACGAAGCACACTCCGCAGGGCAGCTGGAAAACGCTAGAACACTGGACTGAGAGAGAGGCGCTCTCAGGAAGAGGTGAGCCTCAGGGGGGGGCCTGCTCCCCAGGACACGCCTGCTGACAGTGACAGTTGGAGCGACAGGGCCGCTGCTCCCCTTCGGGGGGAGAAAGCAAGGGACACAGGGGTCTCAGCAGGTATCTGCTAACCTCTCCTGTGACAGTAAGTAAAGCAGTACATTTAGGAAGAGAAACTCTGTAATCTGTGACATGAGGGATGATGAAAACGCTTTGTAGCCTTAAGAAAAAGAAGAAAACCCTGAAATCAAGGCATCCTATACAAAGGAGATTGACATTTGCTATGAAGCTCCTCAAAATGAAGGTAAAAAAAAAGGCACGGGACACTCTGGCAACAGGGCACTCATGGTCACGGGGTGTCCAAACAGACTGCGGCCACCCGTCCAGGCCGGGTTCTAGCAGGAGAGCCCGTCAGGGCCGCATCGCCCGCTGCAAACTTCCCGCTGAGGACTGGGGCCGCGGCGCCGCGCCCCCCGGAGGCCCTAGACAAGGGTTTCCTTGCCTTCCCGGGACTGTAGGAGCTGCTTCCCTTTCCTGGCTTGTGGCTCCTTCCCCCTAGTCACTCTCATCTCTGCTTCTGATGCCACATCACCTCTGCCTCCCACCGTGACTGTATGGGACCCGCCTGGGTAACCGAGGATGGTCCCTCACGGCAAGACCTTTCATTTTAATCATACTTGTAAAACCAAACCCCCCTTTCCTATGCAAGCATCACATTCTCAGATTTCAGGGGTTAGGCCGTGGGGATCTTTGGGGAGGAACAACTCTAACACAGGTCCTCTTCAAGCCTCAGAGCAATTGGATTCTTTCCTGGGAAGGCGGGGGCTGCACAGTCCCTGTTCTCCTCGGTGACGAGGGCCCTGACAGGTTCTGTCCCCAAACCTTAAAATCTAGACTATAAACCATTTCTTAAAAAGATATTGACAAAGTTGAATGGGCCAGCTTGAGAACAGGTTTAACATAGTTAATTATAAACACTGAACTGATACCAATCTTTTTCAAAAATGCTCATGTTAACCCAACAATTAAATATTAACTTTTTAGTAGGCTATAAAGTTTATTTCCTTATAAACTCCAATTTACAGGCTCACTTAGCCATTTAAATAGAGCACCATATATGACCACTGAACCAGGTGGCTAAGAGTGTACGATTCCCCTGAAGTTTCCCCGCCCTGGCCTATGGCTTTAGGGGACATGCAGGCACCACTAGGAGGAAGGTCACCATCACAGGGCCGTCACTGGACTTCTGCTCACATCTAATCACCACCAGCCTCCCTTTGTCTCCAAACACCCGTCTCCAAACACGACCATAGGTTAATCTTTCAAACGCACCTTTACATTCATATCTTCTCTGCAATTTCCCCCAAATTAGATTTTTTAAAAGATCTGTGGATTTCGAAAACAACTTTTCCTATATTTCAAGTCGAGAAAAAAGTATCCACGTTGATAATAATCAAATATACTGTAGAAAAATATAAACCCACAAATAACACTTTTGATCTACATATTTGTATATTAAATTTTTCCCCCAGAACTCTTATCAAGAAGCAAAACTGAACAGAGCCATAAGGACAGCAAAATGGAAGGATGTGTGACTAAATGGGAAGGTCCCCCCGAGAGGTGAGCTGTTGAGAAGTGACCAGGTCTTACGCACTGTGGCCTCCCGCGCCCGGCAGGGGCCTGGTGACCAGTGGGTGCTGAGATGCAAAGGAACCTGGCAGGGTGACTCACACACATGCACCCACAGGGCTGCTGAGCAACATGTCCTTCCATGAGCAGAGGCGAGGGCCCAACAGCAGCGAGATGGGACGCCAGTCTTACCTTGCTATCCTTTTCTGGTTTGAAGGCTGAACCGCTCCCACCAGCTGCTGAGGCGCTGTCGGGAGAGGCGGGGGGTCCAGGGACGACGGTTGCCACCCGGCCGCCCAGCTCTGTCTCCAGGGAGGAGGTGGCGATGCTCGGGGAGGTCAGCGCAGTGGCTGGAGCGCAGGCCAGGGGGGCACCGACCCAGCCCACACTGACAGCAGCCGTGTGGGCGGCCGGGCCCAGGTAGCCGGAGCTCTGGGCCTGGATGGGCGTCACCGCTGCCGTAGGGCGCTCCTGGCTGTGCGCCGCCACTAGTAGATGACAGGAGGGACACAGCACAACTCAACGTCTAGCAAATGCTTCTCAACAAACCACGAGTCACTTCACCTCAGCAGACCACAGTGAAAGAAAGGCCGCTATTGCATCTTTACAATAAATGGTGGATGCGTGATGGTCACAAGGCCCTTCGTCTTACCTGGGCCTCTAGATACATTTTCCTGGACCTGGTGAGTACCTGGAAGCTCAGCTGTGGCTCCAGGAGGGCCTTTGCACGGAACTGTGGACACAGAGCCAGTTTCTGCTGGCACTCTACAGTGTCCAGTTGGGTTGGCTCTCCGTCCTTTTGTGAAATTACTCTTTCCTTATTAACTATTTTCCTTCTTTTGTTTTTTTCTGATAGAATTTACAGTGTATCCAACATGGTTACCCAAGACTCTCAGTAGTTTTCCAGGACCATAGAAAGGGGAAACTTTAAGACCCCACTGGGTCTAAAACAGACCTGTGCCCAAGTTCACCAAAAGCAGGCAGCCCACTGCTCAGCAGGGCATCACACAGGGGTCACGCGGCTGGCGGCGGTGAGGTTTGGGGTCTTGAACTTGACTACGTGAGACGTATTTTCAGGTACCACTGACTTTCTTGGGACTGGCCTAATTTCTTTTAGGCTTTGTATCTGTAGATCAAGCCTGAATTACTGTGCAGGGCAGACCTGGCCGAAATAAGCAGATGTGAAGTGCCACTGACTAGACCAGGTCTGCTTTTATTTCCTAATGTTATTCACTAATTTAATAGGACATCTGCTTCTTCCAACATCTGACACAGGCAGGCACCCCTTTCCTGACACTCTGCAGGCCGGCTCCCCCTTACCTGTCCTCACAGTGCCGCGGGCCTGGTTGACAGTCACCTGCCCGCTCACGTGCAGCAAGACCTTTGCTTGAGGGCTGGTCTGGATGTGTGCTGCTGGCACCACAGCCGTGGGGATGCTGGGGTTCCCGGCCACACCGCCTCCCTGGAGCTTCTGGGCCAGCCCTCCTGCCGTGGAAGCGCTGACGGTGATCACCCCTCGACCTGCCTGGGCAGCCGTCGGCACAGGGGCTTTAGCTTGGGGAGCATTTGTCAGGGCCCTGCCAGGACAGAACACAGGCAGGAAGCCCAATCCGTCAGCACAATGGGACTCAGAACAATTATGTGCAAGACAAATGACTCAGGTCTTTAAGACAGAACATTATTAAAAAGGAATGGAATTATTTTTACGGAAGTATAAAAAAGAGCACATTCAAAAGAACAGTGGCCCTGAGGCACACAAAGGTCTTGAATGTATTCTGATCACAGAAAATCACACATCAGACTCTGCTCAAGAATATGGAGTGACTAGGTGCAGCCTTCTGTAGCAACGGTGACCATCTCCACCGTCTCGGGCCCTGGATTCTCCCGCTTCATCTGCTGGGGACCCTGGTCTGCCACCTTACAAACCACACTGTCATGTTTCTGCCCTGCTCCCGACCTGCTCTTAGTCCTGCGCCACACAGTGCCTGTGTCCATGGACATGCACATGCACACGCACACACACACACACACACACACACTCTTAGAATGACCTTTCTGGATTCTCCTGGCCTCTCTGCATCTCATTTATGTTTCAGATCCAGCAGAAATCCTGTCCTTCTAGAAGCATCGCTCAAGGTGGTTTAAGACCTCATGGTTCTACTGTTTCACGGGGAGTTACTCCTTCTATGGCCCTTGATTACAGAATGTGATGTTTTCCTGTTTGTTTGGGTTTGTTTAGTAAATTCCCTATTAACTACTCCTGACTCAGTAAAAGTCACGTGAAAACAGGGCCAGTGTGAAATGTTCTTCTGCAGTCACAGGGGTACAGACAGCTCTATACTAGGACTTACTGGCTGAATTTAAATTAGACTCAGCGTAGTTTTGTGTGATGTATTTTTTCTACATTCTAAATTCATTTGAACAATTCTATGTGCAGTAACTTTCCACTAAATAGGATACTTTGTTAACTTGAACATCCTTACTGTTTACCATAGTGAATTAGATTTTTAAGAATCCGTTTTTGAATCTTATGAAAATGTTTTCCTTCGTTAACTTATTTTTTTGTGTGTGTGGTTCAGTCTGTTTTATTTCCCTTAGGTCTTGTTCTGGTTTTTTGTTTTTGTCTGTTTGTCTCCCACCAGGGAAGGTCTATCTTCTGGACACTGAATGCAGATTTTAACATACACAGAAAAGAAGGTTTGTATTGATCAGAAATCTGCAAGTCAAATCAGAGCCCACATTCTGTCACCATCTGCACCACTAATGATTTTCATCTGATTAGGCTACTGGCCAACCTATAAATCAAGGCCAACAGCTCAAACATGTCAGCTCATTAAGCCATTTATTCAACATCAGGGGCTTGGAGGAATGATTTCACAGTTAAACTTGAACCATTTATTAAGAGCTCAGTGGCCAAAGACTGGGGCTCCCACGATGTTGAGGCCATTATAGGTCATTTCCATTGATTTTTCCAAGGCCACTTTCCTCAGTGACCAGAAGGTGGACTATCTTTAAATAAAGGGTATTCTGTATAACTAAAGTCTTACGTCCTACTACCCTCTTACAGGGTTTCTCAAACTCAGACATTCTGGGCCAGATAACCCCTCCTGTGGGAGCCGTGTCATGCCCTGTCATGTGTCATGCATCATGCCCTGTCATGTGTCATGTTCAGCGGCATCCGCAGCGTCCGTGTCCCCGAGGCCAGCAGGAGCCTCCCCTCACAGGCTCTGCAGGGACACTCAGACGCTCAGACGTGCCAGGCTCCCTGGGGGGCAGACGCGCCTCGGCTGAGGAGGAGGACCTAGGCCATGTTTGGGGCGTGTGACTTCTGACTGTCAGAATCCAGGTGATCGCCAAGCTACTGGAATACATGCAGGGCCAGACTGCCTGGGTTTGAGCGCTTCTTTTTAATGTGACTGCAATTTATTTAGTCTCCCTGTGTCCCCATTTCCTCACCTATTAAGCGGATGATGAGAGCAGGCACAGCAACGACTGTTTAAGAACTTAGATAATATGTGTGACACATTTAGAAATCTGACTGCCTGGCACATGGTATAAAAACACGTCAGTATTAGTAATATGGCTTTTGTTCATATTAAACACTACATTTTTTATTTTCTAACAGAAAAATACCAAAAATGGTGTAACTGATTCTTTTCATATATAACTGAAAGCAGGTAACTTAAAACCCAGTATGTTGCTTGGTAGACACCTAGGATTCCACATATATCCATGTGAAAGGTAAGCTAAGAATTTTAGAGTTAGAAGGGATTTCAGCAAATGCAGGTATGAACTTTTAAAATGTTGGCTATTTTAAAATAGGCCGTTATAATGTGAGAAGGAAGCCTGAATAGGTTGAAAACCACGGAAAAGAACAAAGCTTCTATTCAGAACTCAGTAAACGACTTATTTGAACCCATACCTTGGGACCAGTGCCACATAATTGCCAGGGAAAACCCCTATCCTGCTGGTCTGCATCGATGACCCTTTGAACCAGCCATCCTGGCAGCGCTCAAACACCACCAACATCTCCCCCTTTCTCAGCTCCAGCTCATCCTCCTTCCGGGGGGTGTACGGGTACACAGCGACATACCTGCAACAGAGAAGAACGTCTGCCACAAAGCACAGGACGCCCGGCCCCGGCACCAAGCCTCGCATGTGCTGTGCGAGTGTCAACAGGAAGCACGCTCCCGTAACTAGTGGGCAGCACTGGTCAAGCGTCCACCGGAAGAGGTTTTGCCGCCTACAGTTAAAAGGCAGAGGCTTTCCTGATGAACACCTGCCACCTGGTCCTCACATGAAGGTGCCTATCCCACCCAACGGTCCTGGCAGGCTGTGAAAGTGCTCATGCAGCTCCCCGGGGTGCCGAACTCGCTCTTGGGGATCAGGTGCCCACGGGGAAAATTGAGCCCTTCAGTTGGGGCTTGGTGGACCCGGGACGGAGCTGTAATGAGGGCAGATGGGACGCAGTCCCGCCGGGAAGCCCCACGCCCCCTTCCACAGGCAAGCCGGCGGGAGGCTCGGGCCGCGCCTGCTTCCACGTGCTCAGCCAGGGAAAACACTGAACTGGAACAAATCAAAGGGAAGCACAGTGCAGCTCACGGGGAGTGCAAAACCAGCCCGCGGCGCAAGGGGCCCGCACCACCCACGGCAGCCAGGCAGGCAGCGCAGACCGCTTTTCCCCCAGGCCCCAGACCAGTCCCTGCATGAGTTCGCCCAGTGCAGGATCCCTGCGCCTCCCTGTGCCCTGCTGCTGGTAAGCTCTCAACAGGACAATCAGGCGGATCCTAACGCCTGGGGGCTCACAGCCTTTCACACACAGGCAGTCCCGTGTACGTGTGTGCAGCCCACAGCTCTGTTCCCCTGAACCAAAGACGGCCTTCTCTCAGCAGGACGGGGGCCTGGCGAGCTCCTTGTTAGACCCAGTTTGTTCCAGCATTTCCTACTTCTTTGCATGACTGAGTAAACGTTTGCAGAACACAAACCACTCTGGTGAGCCATCAGCCCTCACCAGCTCACATGGGAAGGGTGCTCCCCCACCCCACTACCTCTGCTGTTAGGGCTCAGTCTGAAACGAACATCTAAGCTGCAATAAATATTGACCTCACTTACACGCTGGGGCGAGTCTGGGGCCGTGAATGGGCAGTCTGGTCTGCGGACCCCGCTGCAGGCCGTGACCCCGTTCCTGCAGCAGCCGCGCCAGGTGGTGTGGAGGCCAGGAGAGGGGGCGGGGGCAGAGGGGGGTTCACAGTCTGGTGCCAGAAAGAAACACAGGGAGAAAGAAGGCACACATTATTTATTTACCTCTTTATGGTAGGTGGGAGGGAAAAGGAATCAGAAATTCAAGGAGAAAGGACTTTAATGGAATCCACACAGAGCAGGAACCAGCAGGCTATCTGGTATCAAAGCCTCCTTTCTAAAAAAACTCATCTCTTGTTCTCCTTTAAGATCCTAAAGCCACAGTAACTTTTTCAGCAAATAGGCGAATAATCACAATTGGGAAAAGGGAGGGAAATAAATGAAATGGTTGCATGTAATTTTAAGATTAATAGCACTTCTAAGTATAGACTTGGACAAGAATCCCAATGCTCTTCATGGGGGCAGCTATAATGACACACTGCTTGCTGGGAATTAATTTGTGATTGTTTCTGTAACCTGAAACTTAAATACAACACAAAACAATTTAGCTGTACTATATCTCTAACCATTCCTTCAGAAGAAAATTTCCTTTGATGCTTGGTCTCCCAAATAAAAGCAAGCCACAATCACTGGGCTATTGTTCCTATTTCTGCTTAATCTTTCCTTCGCTTTGCCAGCCTTTGAAATTCAGTACTATCAAGGCTGGTAATCTTTAACAAGCACACCAGTGAAAAGCTGCAGGTTCCTTTATGGGCACAGACTAATGGGGTCCTGCCTACAGGATTCCATGCCTTTTGAAAATCAATGGAGCAATTGTTACTTTCCAATCTAGGAACCCCAGATAATTCTGTAGGGTCTGTATATCTAAACTCCTGGGAAAGAAGGAACACAGAGACCCGCCTGAACCCCCACTTTGTCCCCCCCCCCAAATCTCTGAAGCACTAGATGTAAAAAACGATCAGAAGAGAAACAAGGAGACTAAAGTAAGCGCCTGGGGAAGTGTGCATGGCTTCCGCAGCTCGGCGTTGCCAGAAAACCCCAGTGATTTTGGAACACAGTTCATCACAGTCATTTTGCTTCTATTTTTTGGAATAAAAATTTGAATCTCATCAGCATGTACTTCAGTTGCCTGCTAATGTATGTAGTTCCAGAAACACAATCAACTGAGTAGAAAAAATTTTTGAATTTTTAGACATATGATGCAGTGGTTTCACACATTTAATTTTTTGCCAAAGTGACTTTCAAGGACTTTCCTCATATGGCAGCTTGAGTTGTTGCGGAATAAACAAGGTGCAGAACTGCTTACAGAGCGCAAACCTGGACAACACAGAGGTCAGCTCAGAAGCAAGACTTCCCTGTCCTCCGCAGGGAACATGGCAGCACTAAGGTTCGTTACGGCTCTGGAGTTTGCATGTGCTGGGGCTCAGGGCCTTCAGAACCAGTAACCAGGAGAAGCTCAAGCCTTCATTCCATTCGGTCTCCTCCCAGAGACAAAGTAGGGAGAAGTAAGGATAATCCTGGAGAAACTCTCACCAAACATGGCCTGGGCAGGTCACTGGGGCTGATAACACACCAGTGCCTCAGGGGCCTAATGCGTCCGGGCTGTGCACTGAGTGACGCACCGAGACTGTCTGACACCCCTTCACTGGTCCCATGCAAGTCTTCCTAACCCATCTCTAGAAATCCCAGCTGTAGGAGGGCAGAAGACACAGGGTACATGTTCCACGGGGGGCCCAACAGTGGTGGCGCCTGGAAATTACTTAAAATGGTGCCGAAGGCACAGAGCCGGGAAGCGTCTAGGTAGAATTCTGTTTTTAAGAAGAAGGGAAACTACAATGGCCCATTAGTTATACCTTGATTTTATTAAAACAGAAGGTGTCCTAAATAAGCTCTAAGAAGAAAAGGCAAAAACCCTCTAGGGACCAGATAAAACATGTCACATTTTGCTAACAAAATGTAAAAAGGTAACCTCTTATAGTTTAAAAATACAATACACAAATGTTTCACGTACATTCCTTTTACAAAGAGAAAGCTGGTAGGCACTTGAGATATGGCGTCAAAGAGGATCTTCTGAAAGATCCCCGAGGCTGTACTTCAGGGAAAGGTCAGTCAAAGCTCTCCCTGCAGCCGAGACACACAGACGCCCTGAGTAAACCTGGGTGATTCCTCCCCGATGCTGGGCTACCTAACTTGGGAGAAATGTGTGTATGTGCACATGCGTATTCACAGGCTAGAAGCACACAGACCAGGAGAGAAGTCTGATTAAAATCAGATTCCTAGATGTTGCTCAGCCCCGTGGGGCTGGTAAATGACAGGGCTCTTTGAGTCCAGGGCTGGGACGGACCGGGAAGTTCTGTGGTTGCTTTATAAACAAACCACACTGAAAAAATCTGGTGATGTGGAAGTTCAGAAGGTCATCACTGTGCAGTGGGCTTCCGCACAGTGTCAGTGAGCCGTCCTGCAGGACCCGGGCTCCCTACAGAGCAACTGCGGCCTGCACCTACCCGGGCTGACCAGGAGGCCTGTCGGAGGCACGGGTCACACTGGGCTAACAGTAGTTTGTTAATGTTGTTCAGACACAAATGCCACCCTTAAATGCCATTCCCACCAGATGCTGTATGCTAGACGAATGGGCTCGGAACGCCTCATCACATGTAATTCCGGCTTCATGCAGATGCAACAGGTCTGCACCACCAAAGGAAGGCTGTCCACAGCCATGCACCAGGCCCCAGGCGCACTGACGTACAGAACCGTGTGTTCCTCTGGTATTTGTTAAAAATGAGGTACAGATCCAGACCTTCTTTGCCAGCATGTGGTAATGGTCTAAGGCGAGAAATACAATTCCTGAATAATACTGAGCTTAAAAAGCAGCACTCTGTCGTCTGTTAATGTGAAATGGACCTGTTCTTCAGGTCTAGGTTCTGTTCTCTCGATTCACTGATCATTTTGAAAGAAGAGGCAGCTTTACACGGTAGAGGCAGGGCTTTGGGGTCAGAGAAACGGATTCCAATCCTGGCTCAGCTTTGAGGGCACCCCTGTCCTGTCCTCGTTTGTTAGAGTGAGCACCATGAAAGAAATGCACTCTCCGTGGGCACTCCAGGCCACTGGTGGGTGAGTGAAAGTTCAGATACGTGGGAGTGAAGCCCTTCCCTCTGGTGCACTCTCCTCCTGTCGCCCTCACACTGCCAGCCCACAGGGCGGCAGGGCTGGATGTGGCTCACAGGTGACAGATCTGTCAGGACCTCACCAGGAGAGTATTTTGCACTGGAGTTTGGGGCACAAGTTCAGCTAACAATAAAAGGTTTATTTTCTCTCCAATGGCCCTTTGTGGGTGCTTCTCCCTCACGCACCTCCCCAGTTAGAAAGCTGAGTGGCATTTCTGGTCTCTTGGGTAAATGCCATTTAATGTCCCCCAAGCCACCCTCACTTATTTCTAGACACAAGATTTCCAATTCAACTTCAACCCTAGACACACGCACACCTCTCAACAGCCCTCTGTGCACGGGGCTCAGCACAGGTGCTCTGGCCGAAGACAGAGCAGTTCACGGTGCGGCTGTGTCCCCAGGCCAAGGGTGTCCCCGTCTGCATACAGCGCTGTTTATGTAATCATTCAAGGAGTTTGCCTTAGTTTTAGGACAATGAGTAGTAAGTAGAAAAATGGAAGTATGGACACCAGCAATTAAAAAAACTTAGGGGTTGGAATTCAATAAAATTAAGGTAAAGATGGAAAGTAGTGAGTTGTTTGTCTAAACTGGATGTTCACTGGAATTAAGCCAGCCCTATGGATACAGCTATGAAGAAAAAAATTAACATATTTTTTAAAATGTTAGAAATGGGCTCTTAGAAGATTATGTCCAAAGGGGAAGATGTAATTAAGAATTTGGTGATTTTTAAACATCTCTCTGGGAATGGGACTTCTCTCACAAACGGTTGGGTCTGTTGCTCTGCACTGGATCTGTGAGAAGAGACGCCAATGGCGACTGGCAGGCTCCGTATCCAACCAGGTCCCTGCCTTACACTGATCTGCGGGCGGCGGCATAGCTAGAATTGGTGTATGAAGGCTGCCTCTCCCAGTGCCTGGGCGCACGGCAGACGCTCAGGACACGGGCCCTGGACTCGCGAGGCCGTGAGCCGCCCTGGCCATCTCTGTGCTGGGTCATGGAGCTTTGCAGACAACACCCCTCGGTGAGTGCTTCTGAATGAGAAAATGTTCTGTGCTTCCACCCCCAAAAACAAAATGATCCGGTTCCTGAGATGCTGAAGTCCTTTCCTGTTGTCACTATGAATCCCACTCCTCACCCTGCTTTTCAGAAACCCTGCCAGTTTCAAAGGCTCTGCTTCTACCTCTCAAACCAGCCAGGTGGCCAGTCCCATCGCCTGCTGCCAGAGCCCTTCCCTGACCCTGCAGACAGCAGTGGGTTCCACTCTGCAGTCCATGTGGGCCACTGCGGACTAACAACATGCTGGCTTCTGGGACCCTGACATTTGGTTTTGTTTCTTTAAATACATGTGTATACACATGCACACTGTGCGTGTGTAAAAATCCTTTTGGAATGCCATCTGTGTATAAGCAGGTCCTGGGCTGTATCTGACCTTTATTGACCTGGCTACCTTGTGACATCTTGCCGCTAACAGGTCTCTGTGGGCACAGAGGGTCAGGGATGACCAATCACTTGCTTTAGAAGTTCTGCAACTGTACAGCAGGTACAGGACAAAGATCTTCACCCTCCTCCCTTCAAAACACCAGTTGGAAAAAGCCCCCATGGCCATTAAGAGTCTGATGTCCGAATCAGATGGACTTAATTCCAGTTTTGCATCTAATAATAGTTAACATTTTAACTGTTACATGTGAAACAAATGATCCGGTTCCTGAGATGCTGAAGTCCTTTCCTGTTGTCACTATGAATCCCACTCCTCACCCTGCTTTTCAGAAACCCTGCCAGTTTCAAAGGCTCTGCTTCTACCTCTCAAACCAGCCAGGTGGCCAGTCCCATCGCCTGCTGCCAGAGCCCTTCCCTGACCCTGCGGACAGCAGTGGGTTCCACTCTGCAGTCCATGTGGGCCACTGCGGACTAACAACATGCTGGCTTCTGGGACCCTGACATTTGGTTTTGTTTCTTTAAATACATGTGTATACACATGCACACTGTGCGTGTGTAAAAATCCTTTTGGAATGCCATCTGTGTATAAGCAGGTCCTGGGCTGTATCTGACCTTTATTGACCTGGCTACCTTGTGACATCTTGCCGCTAACAGGTCTCTGTGGGCACAGAGGGTCAGGGATGACCAATCACTTGCTTTAGAAGTTCTGCAACTGTACAGCAGGTACAGGACAAAGATCTTCACCCTCCTCCCTTCAAAACACCAGTTGGAAAAAGCCCCCATGGCCATTAAGAGTCTGATGTCCGAATCAGATGGACTTAATTCCAGTTTTGCATCTAATAATAGTTAACATTTTAACTGTTACATGTGAAACATATAAGACAACTTCATTCTTCATAAAAGATTAAAAAGTCTCAATTCACGAAAAAAGTACTAGAAATAATTTTCATCTCCCAATGAAATGCTGGTACATTGATTACCCATTGGTCCACACCACGAAAAGCATGGCTTCCCCCCACAAGCTGCGCACCATCGCGTGACAGTGCTCAGTGCCTTGGGAGATATTTCAGATTTTAAATACGACACTCACCATGATTAATGTGAGATGCAGAGGGTACAGGTTACCGAGATTTTTTCCCACTTAAACCTAATGTATTAAGTCCAAAAATTTCTGCCACCCTACCAGGGACTTTGAGATTGAGACATCTCCTGGGTGACAGGCAGGTCTGTGTATGACTAGCTCTTCCTTAAATGGAGTGGGCACAGTAGACATGAGCCTTCCTCTTAGTTAACACACAGGCTTTCTCATATGATCCTAGGGTGAAATAGCTGAATACAAGTTAATTTTTGTATATTCCATGCTGTCTTGTGGCCTGTCCATTGATTTGCCCTAGAGTCCTTCCAGCTGAGAGCAACTGGCTGTTTGCTATATCGTAAAATACTCAGCCCACATGGGCTGAAACTCAGCCAGCTCTATGTCCTTCCTACTAATTTAATTTTTTCTAAGATCAGAAAAGGTAGTCTTTTTCCCTTAAGAAATCAAGTTAGAATTCTTCCGTGTGAGGTAGTCGTCTGCAAATGAAAACTCCAGTTGTTGTATATATACTGGATCAGGACCGGGAAGAAGGGAAGCCGAGCAGCAGAGTCCTCTCCGGAGACGGGAGGGTTAGGTGACCATGGAACTGGCCCTGGCCAGCACACCCTGGTCTAGCAGAAGCTCATGGAAACCACATTTCAGTAAAAGTCAACTGAATTTCATCTTCTCTCCAGAGAAATCCATGCAACTTCTCCTCCTGCACCAAACAGTTGTACTATCAGTGAAGCCAAACTCATTCTGGGAATACATATTAAAAAATCTTTCACCTCTAACCAGACACTATTAACTTCCATTTAAATATACAAACATGCTTAACTCTATAAAAAAGTTTTCAAGCTTCAAGTCTAAGTCAAGCTAGCTAATAACTGCATTTATTTATATCCCACCTTGTTTCAAAGTCAGTTTTAAAATATTTATAAAATGTATAAGGACAAAATACATATAAAATAAGGAAAATGAGGATAGCAAAATCAGACGGGGCCAGCATTTTGGGTATCGTGCTGAGCTGCTGTGAGGCCCTCGCTGGAACGGGGTGTACATCTGTTCTAAGCATTCTAGGAGGGGGAAACATAATCTTCACAACACATTTAAAACCCACAACCTAAGAACAAACTAGAAGCCTCACTATTCCTGGTACAGAAAGCAGGCAAACCCCAAGAAAATGAACCCAGCCCTCAAGGCCTTCTGGGGGTGAACCGGTGGCAGGAGCCCCCAGCCCGCCTCTAGACGGCCCTCAGCAGAGGCCAATGACGGGGTCAGCAAGCCATCCCTCCCTTTACATTCCAGGCTGGGGTAAGTCTCCCAGGCAGACACTATAGCCTCATTTGAAAGGTAGGACATGAGGCTTCAGGAGGCTGAGCAGCTTCCGTGGGCGCCTGGGCTGCGCCCCGCACCAGGCCACACTGCTTCTCTGCAGCACCCCAATGAGGGGAGCCTCTGTAAAGCAGCTTACAGGGCTGGGGAGATCCAGCTCAGTGAACTTTTCTATCGTCATTCAACTCAGCACTGCAAGAAAGCACCTGAATCCAGGTCAAGGCACTGGCTGGGCTGGGACGCTTCCCGATGCGGCTTCCCTGCAGCCCGCCTGCAGTTTCAGGGAACAGGGACTTAGACCATCGCATCTCTGCTACCTAAGGCCAGGTCCGCTCTGTCTTCCCTGCTCATTTTCTCTCCACAGTGTGCTTGTATCCTCTCCCTGGGCTTTCAAGCAATTAGTGTTCAGGCTCCGTCTGCAGGATGTTGCTCTGTTTCCAGAAGGAAAGTCAACACAAGCTGAGGGTGCCTTCCCGGGCAGCAGGCCGCTCGGGAAGGCAGCGAACGAAGGGAAAAGCCATCAGTACCGAGGCTGGGGACCAACTTACCGGGTCCTCAAAGCAAACCATTTAGCCTTTGGGATCCCAGGCTCCTCAGTATTCCTATAAATGTGTCTTTGTAAGAGGTAAGCAAAGTCTAGAAACTCAAAAGAAATAAAGGTGAAGCCTTCAGGAAATCAGGATGGACTTCAAGCTCTCATCACTTCAGGCTGCTGGTGAAAATATTGTACACTGGAGACAACAGACTTTCTAATTTTTGTAGGACTCAGAGATAACAGATGACAGGTAGAGACCCACCCCACCTCACAAGCGCAAATGTGAACTGGAGGCCCTGGGAGGTGCAGGGTGCCCATCAATGTGACTAACTCCCGGAGAGGGAGCCGGGCGCGGTACTCACCAGGGCAGCCGGGTAGGGACTGTCCGGGGGGAAGGTGAACGAGGGCCCGGCGGACACGGGGCTGCTCGGGGGCGGAGTCACGATTAGCCCGGTGGTGCTTATATGAACCTGCCGAGAGAGAGAAGTTAATAAACAGAAGACCCCGTTTAATACAACAGATTATACTGGCTAAACTTTGGGAAGGCAACTCCATTTTCTAAAACGCCTGTAGCTTCTGTTATTGGGGAAGGCAGAATCCCTTTTGGTTTATTTAGTCCAAATTCACAGATCACCTCACGTGTCTCAGACACTGGGAGGCACGTGTAGCCGTGGCCACTGCGGCGGTCTGCATGTAGAATCCACCTGCTCTTGGCTTCCACAGTCACACGCTCCGTTGGGACACTGTGAACCAAAACACCCTCTTGGATGGCGGCCTGGTGTCTGCCAGCCTACGAACAACTTCCCTGAAGGCCCTGTTCCTGAGGCCGTGGCTGCGCACCCACCTGCTGCCCGCATGTCCGTCTATGTGAAGGGCTCCACGTGCTGTTAGTCTCGGGACCTGTTTTGGTGCCTTCTTCCTCTCAGTGGGGACACAGAGCTAGGATGCAGTGCTATGGCAGGTGATTATTTATAAACCCTTTCAAGCAGTAATGTCTCGCCAAATTAGCTGTTTTCAAAGGTGTCTTATCTATGATACTAGTGAAGATTAATTTACTAGAAAGGAATTGAGTTATTCAGGCTGTTTCAACGCCTGTGTTCAGTTACGGGGTCGGTCCTACTCCCACTGCGTGTCAGGTCCACTGTCAGAACCAGTAGGATCCCGATGCTACGGAAGCAGGGCTGTGGTTCCTGCACAGACAGGATGTTTTCCTCCACCGTCAAAGGGCTGCAGTTGGCCGGTACCTCATTTCCCCAAGGGAACAATCATACACCAAAAATGCAAGGCCTTTTATGATAAAAACCTAACCCGAAATAAGTTTTCTCAATTCCCATAAACTAAGAGAAAGATTATCAGCAAGTTCAGCCAAACACAACAGCAACCCAGCCCTCTGCTACTTGGGTCTGTGCACGTCTGGATTGGACGGTGGGCCCACCACCCCGTATGGAAACGTGAGAGACCTGCACCCACGGCTGAAGGGCACTGAACTGCCTCTCTGGGGGCTGCATTCAGGGAGAGAAGAATGAACACTTCCTCAGGCCTCTTACTGGATTTTCTAATGAATGCAGCCAAACATAGCTGAGAAAAGGCAGGACAGAGAACAGGCCTGCAGCAGGGTTCACGCTCATCAGCAGGCCGCAGGCAAATCTGTGACAGGGCCTTTTCTAGCGTGGGGGGTGGGGTGGGAAAGGGAGCCCTGAGCTAGACATCCCCCCATGGGCTACTCCCTCTAGCCACTGACTTCTGCAGAAAGGACAGTGCCCACCGGGCGTGCCACGCCTGCCTGCTGCTCTGCTGTGGCCTGGAGTTCCCGCCAGTATGTAACCCGGTGTAAACCCGGCTGCAGAAGCAAGGCAGCACCTGAACCACCGCCCACCCCCTTTCAGAAAGAACTTCTCCCCAGGCAACACACCGCCACTGTGAACAGCAGGCATTTGAATACAGGAGCAGTGGGAGGTGGGAGCGGTTTTAAGGCCTCAGCTACTCAAACCAATACAGAACGGCTCTGCCCGTGTCTCCATTCTGGGCGGTGGTGCAGGGCGTCGGGCAGGCTCACACCTAAGTTCCGTGACAAACACAGACACCACGTACCTTCCTCCCAGTTTCCTCTGCTGCCCCCAGATCACCGGCCACGCTTCCAAGGCTTTTCCTATGCAGACCTGCCACTACTCTTAGCAGGAGCTTATATTTTAGACCAAGGAAACATCATTATGCAAATGATGCTAGACCACAAAATAAAAACCGTGGAGTCAGGGGGCGTCACCTTCCACTAGTGAGCGGCCATCTCTACTGGCCACCCTCTGCCAGAACCTTAGGGAAGAATCTTCAGATTTGAATCTTTTCAGAGAAACCACACTGGTGCTTCTTACTCTGATCTCTGATTCACGCCTGGCTTTCACATGGGTTAACTCGTGGCATGTAAAACAACATGGTTTTCCTTCCTACCCATTTTCCAAGCAACTCATTTGCTCAGTAAGTATTTATTGAGTAGTGTTCACTGTGTATCTGACATTTGGGACATACTGATGAACAAAATGAAGACCTCTGCCCTCACCGCACATGTTTCTGGGTGTGCGTGTGTGTGTGTGTGTGTGTGTGTGTGCACGTGTGCATGCGCACTGACTTACCTCATAAGATCAAAAGCATGGGGCCCCACCATGTAAAACACACCAGCAAACCACAGTCCCATTCAGAAAATGAATGCATTTAAAACTCACACATCCCAGTTAATCTAAAGTTAGCAGTGTCAAATAAATGAGGCACAGAGATAATCTTGTGAAATTTCACTCTGTGGTCCAAAACAGGCACTTAGGAAAAAAAACCTCCTGAGGACTAGGACTGTGTGTTTCTTTCTTTCTCTAATGGCCAATAGTTTAATTTTATCTACTTTTAAAAACCATAGCTACACTGTGGTGTGGGTGCACTCTAAAATCTGCACCAATTTTAAAAATGAAACATGAAACTTGGAAGAACTCTCTCCCACACTGACAGGAACACGGCTCTGGACTGGGCTCCGTGACCTCTGGGCCGAGGGAGAGACACCTCTCACCTGACTGGGCCACGACGGCAGCCCAGTGGCATGGGCAGCAGCCCAGGCAGGCTCTCCTGCAGTCCAGGATAGGGCCTGATGCAGGAAAGTCCTGTACCTTATCATCACCATATACACGGTGCCAGGAAGGGTCTGATAATAAGGTAGCCAGTAAATGTTGGCCAAATGAATGAATGGATACTCCCAATCATCTCGGGCATTTTTATACACATGAGAATAACGTGTAGCTACTTTATAAGACAGCCCCATGCCTTGGTGAATTAATGAGCTTTAAAAATAGGCTAAACCAATTTCCAATGTAATGTTTCTTCCCATTCTTTCTCTTCCTTCTCTCTAACTCTCATGGAAGCCTAAATATCAGGGTAAGTTACTCAGACACGGGAAACTTCAAATGACGAGTTTCAGCCACAGCGTCTTCAGTTTGGGTGGAGATAAAAGTTTTGGTTGGCACCATCTCCCAAGGCAGCTTTGTGAAAAGCTTCTGCTAAACTGAGCAACTGCTTGGGGAAACCAAGTCCCACCTAAACCGTTGTGTCATTTCTGGCATTTCCTTTGACAGCGAGTAGTCCTGGGTTAACATACTCAAGCTAGTTTTCCCTTCTCCGTTTTTCCTTCTACAGCATGAAGAAAGCCTTTGCCTCTCAGGAAAGCCACTCTCCTCTGCAGGCAAAGATGAGCAGTGTCTTCCAGGCAGGAGACAGGTGTGTCCACAGAGAGGCCCTCCGCGCCCAGGCCCCCCGGGCTGCCGCTGGCTTACCTGAGAAGGGGCGCTGCAGGAGAGCCCGCAGCGCTCGCCGATCCTGGCGGCCGCGGTGGGGTTGCTGGAGCTGATGAGGACCGGGGGGCTGATCTCCACGGAGTGGCGGTTCTGCACGGCCTGGGAGCACTTGCCGGCCGTGGCGAGGGAGGTGAAGGAGTGCCGCTTCTTGGTGTTCTTCTTGGCGTCCGCGGGCTTCGGCCCGGTGCTCTGGGTGGCTGCCGAGGCACCCTCTCCCGCCTCACCCCCGGCTGCCGGTGGCTTGTCCCACTCTATCAGCTGCTTGGCAGCTGTGTTAAACTGCAAACCAACCAGGCGACACAAGGCGGTCAGACAAGGGCTCCCTGAGAAATATTTCCAGTACACTTGTACCTCCAGTCTAACGGGGGCACTTCAGAGTCTGCACTGGCAAGGGTGGATTTTTGTTTGCATGTGAGATGTCTCTTCTCTCAACACTGGGCTTTCATGCATCTCCATCCGAGACAGACATCAACTCAAGAATAAACAATTCCAGTGCAAGACTGACAAGGTCAAAACATTTTCTTCCAAAAATTTTTAGAATATCTCATTTTAAAATTTGCCAGTAATGAATTCGTTCACTGATAAAATTTAGAGAAGAACAAGTGAAAGAGCACGTGTGTCTGAGTGAGTGAACACTGCTGCAGTGACGGCTGGGCATTTTGCTCAGGGCCAGACTGAGCCTCAGAGGAGCGACCTCTGGGCTCCGTAAAAATGGGCAAGACGACAAAAAAAGGAAACCATTAAATGTTAACACCTGCGCATCCATGTAATCTGACCTCCTGCCTCTAGGTATTTGGGACAATGTCACAAAACAGTGGGAGGAAATCTTGATACATTTTTGTTGTGTCATTGTATCGGTTATTTTCATGTGCTTAAAAATTTAAATAACAGGGTAAAACATGGAATTCAAGTCCTGTTGAAAAGCTGATGAGTCTCTTTGAAAAGGTGTATGAGTGTGAAGTAAGGGGACACGGAGTCAAAAGCTGTGCAACAGGCTGGTAACACCAGCACGGAAGGAAAGGACACGAGCTCTTGTTTCCCCTGAGGATGAAATGATTCTGCAAAGACTCAGTGATAAAAGGCTGCATCTAACTTACCTAGACATTACAATAATGGGAAAACGTTCAGCGCATAATTTAACCTCTCATAAAGCACATTAAGATGAGAAATAATAAGCCTCTCAAAGGTAATTTAGGTAACATCAAGGATAATAGAGATTTCCCCATTTCAGCACTGCATGCTCAGCACTTCGCAAACGCCTGTAGATAAAGTATTGTCATCAAATGCTATTTTCCACCCACCTAAACAGTTAGGCCTATGTCTCCTCGCCCTGGTGAGGGGAATGTCCTACCAGAAGAATGGAAATGCTGTCGGTCAATATTTAACAGAGCGAACCTGCCTGGGCACAGCTGGCCGCTCACAAAGCTGTGTTACCTGTGGTCCAGCACCAGCCCTTCCGCAGATGACGGCAAACTCGCCGACGGCTTGCTCCTGCGGCTCTCCGGGGGCTCTCCTCCTGGCCTGTCCAGTCTATGATAGGCAGGGTGCATCTTTTCCAAACACAAGCATACCTCTCCTTCAAACTTCAAGGATTTTTTCCCACAGTAACAGGCAGTAATGCCACAGTAACGCCTGTCGACGCCTGAAGTGTTCATGGCAGGAGAAGGTGACCCCAAGGGCCGTGTGCTGGCTGCAGGGGTGGACAATGACGTTCCCCCGAAGGATGGCCTCACCATCACACTATAATAGCTTCTGATCAGATCCAGAACTTCCTATCCTGCTGCAGTCTACCTTCCCACCTTCGGATGGTCCCCAAGAGAATCAAATGCCCAGTGCCTCCATGCAGCGCTTAGGATCATGACGGGAGTGGCCCAGACCTCGCTGTGGAGCTCTGACAAGCGGCGCAGAGCCATGTGGCGGTGGCGTGCTCTTCCCTACAGGGGCTGGGCGTCAGAGTCTGCCGTCAAAACAGACAGAGAAGCTGCTCCGTCCCCCATCCCGATGAGAGGAGAGACACTCGGCACTGCCAGGGGAAAAGGAGCCACGGGATGTCTTCTCCCCGTGGGAGCTCACTCAGACCCCGAGCCCTCCGGAGCCTCACCCGGTCGGGCTGCAGGAATCTGACCGGCTACCTTGGCGTGGAGTGAGGAACAGCGGCAGGAGCTGAGGCCAAAAACGTGAGCAGAGAGAACCATCATGCCTTCTCACCACCACAGGTAAATTAACTCTGGGGCCAAACCAGAGGCTCCCTCAGTGGTGTCTGCTCTGAAAGAGTCTGAAATATTACCAGTCTAGTCATGCTCATTAGCCAAGTGTCGGCTGAAGTTAATACTGTGCTAACATTTCAGGATTCCATATGCTGTGCTCCAGTATAAAATCCGAGAAATAAAGTATTGCTACCCATATTTCTTGCTGTTTTCCTCATTAGAAAAATACTGGGTGCTTCCCCTGTATCTTTTTCTGTATCACATACTTCCGACGTATCTGGCTTCTTTCACTCAACAACATGCTATTTGAGATTACCCGTACTGTTCCATCAATCATTCTTTTCTTAAAATTGCTGCGTGATATTATTTGTATGGATACACCATGATTTATTTACCCATTCTATTGCTGATTTATATTTGGGTTTCTCCACCTCCCCTTCTCCCTTTCTCCTTCCTTCCTTCCCTCCTTTAGATTTCAGCTGTTAAGAACAGTGGTGCCATGAATGACCTCATGCAGCTCTTCCGGTGGCATTAGCATGTGTTTGGAAGTTGGGTATGTGCCCAGGAGGCAAACTGCTGGGCCACAGAGTTGGCATGTTCGGGAAAATACGGTTCAAATGCAGAAGTTGGCATGTTCGGGAAAGTACGGTTCAAATGCAGAAGTTGGCATGTTCGGGAAAATACGGTTCAAATGCAGAAGCGTGTGCATGCAGGTAAACATACCACGGTGTGGCGGCCCTAGCAAACTGCAGACAGAAGACCACAGTTTAGTCCCAGCACAACGTTTAGCCACTTTTGTGGCCTTCAGGGAGCCATTTGCCTCCTGACCACACCGTCCTCATCTATAAATGAGGAAGCTGGAGCCAATGATCTTTTTGTTTCTTTAGCTCTTGAATGTATAATAATACAATAATGCTTTTTGCAATAATGCAAAAAACACACTTTAAGAGATGTGTACTTTTGCATTTAAGCAGCTCATCCTTCTATTTAATTTCTAATCCTCTAAACAGCCTAGTACATTTTCCATTTCTACATGTGGACAGGAGTATTTGTGAGTAGGACACTGCCACACCTTAAAATTACTTCAGACTCCTCCCGACGCAGCAGACGTCAGTACCTAAAATACTACCTGCCATCTTTGTAGGTCCCAAAGGAAGCCTTAAAGTGAAAAGACTGTCTGGTGGAGGCATCAGGTGAATTAGGCAGAGACATTAAGATGCTTTGGTTTAAGTTGTGATGTAACCTTCAGTAACAACAGGGAAGCGAGGCTCTGGCAGCCCCCAGTGGAGCTCCGATAAAGCTCATTCGTGAATGTCTGTGCTCAGGGGGGCAGGCTTCCTATGACTTGTAGGTGCAGGGGTGCTCTCATCACCTGCAAAGCGAGCCTGTACCCTAAAATACCTTCTTCCAAGCACGTGGGAAGGAGTATTTGATGTAACTTAGGTGGCAGACAAGGTAGAACTCGGTCCCATGGAGCTAAAAGCAGGACTGTCAGGATTTGCTGATCTTAAAACTCTAATGTCCTCTTTGGGGGAACCCTCAAACTAGAAAGAGAATTACCAGAAGTATAAATAAACATGAGAAAGGAAGTCCTGACAAAAAAATAAATAACAGTAACAAGACAGCTTTAACATATCAAAGTAATTGTGTGAGCGCTTGTCTTCTTTGCTAAAGGGAGTATGGCCTTTTTAAAAGACAGGACTTACATTTTTTAAAAAGAAAAATATTTCTTAATGGGAAATAAGTTGAATAGTCACTATTTTATATGAAACTTTACAGATGAATCAGTCTCTAGCTTTTGAGCACTAGAAAAACCTACAAATAAACCGAACTGAGCTTCTCTCTTATTTTAGTTACTTCACCTCTGTGGCCCCCAGCTGTTAAAAACTGATAAAGAAACCAGTATTTTCTTTTCCAAGTTTCTCATTTTGAAATGTAAGGGACAAAGGGCGGGTGCACCTCACTGACAGCCTGAGAAGAGCTTCAGCTTAGGGAGCCGCTCAAGGGGCCGCTGACGATCCATGGCCTCTGCTTCTTTAGCTGTGTAACGGGGGAAGGAATTGCCAGCTCTGCACACCTCGGGCAGGAGTGAGTATGGGTCAAACTGCTGCACCTCCAAGTGCTGCCTGAGTGAGCAGTCTCACTATTCGCAAGTCACTTATCTTGGGCATCCTGCTTCTCGCATCGACATGAACTTGGACTTGACGATCTGTAAAGTTTTATGCCTATGCAAAATACAAATACCTTTTGTCAGCCCCAAACAGAAATACTGCGCTGAGAATGGTCAGAGGTGGAGGGCCGTGTGCCAAGGACAGAGCCCCCAGGACAGCTCCAAGGCCTGTGACCACGACCCAAGCTGCCAGAGCCTTCCACTCATCCAAGTATTTTCTGAGTGACTCTCATAAGCCAGGCACAGTTCGGGGTGGGGAAAAGGGGACACCAAGAAACACCCCCTCTGATTTTGAGAAGAGAGACCTAGAAGTAGCAGGATGGCGTCACGAGGTGCTACCGCACGCGTCAGCAGGGCCCGAGCAGGCGAGGTGGGTCAACGAGGAAGCCAGCCAGAGACCAGCAGGGGACGGCGGACCCTGAGCCGGCGAGTGTGCGCCTCTCTCAAGGGGCAGCTGCTTGCCAGGGTCAGCTGATTTTTCTAAATGAAAGCTAGAGTTAAGCCTGTGTAAAATCGCCTGATTCCTCCATCTTTAATTAAAACAAAAACACTCTGCAAGCCAAGCATAAAAGTCATGTGGGGTCACACTGGCTGCTGCTGCCTGACTTAGGGAGGAAAGAGCAGGAAGCCAGCACAGGGCGGAGGGACAGCAGAAGCACTCGGAGCGTCAGGCCACAGAAAACCTTGCCGAGGTTCCCAGGTCAAACAGCCAACCAGTGCCCCAAATGGAAAAGGCGAAGAGTTTCAGGAAATTAAGAAGAGTGGTTGCGATGGCTAATTTTGTAGGGGAGAAGAAGAAAGAACAAAGATGTCCTTGGAAGGGTAGAACAACAAGAAAAGCTAAGAAAAGGCAGCTGTGGGCAGGAGGGCGATTTCAGGGCCTGGAGCGGCCACAGGCGAGC